ATGGCGTTAATCGAAAAAAACGGACAGCTATCCAGCGATTGGTGCAGTCATCTACGCCATCGAAAGTAATGATACTGAACCTTGTCATTAAATCTGTTGAAATACGTAATGTTGACGATGTAAAATTATCTTTATGTAACAAGTGTATGCATATGATACCGTCGACTATACTTTTTATGCTTGAACTCGACACAATGTGTCGAGCACATATATTTCGATTTGCGCCAATATACAAATAATATAAGCGATAAATTTAAATATTTTGTAAGTTATTTACATCAAAACTGTATTGCGAATAAATTTGAAGTGGTAAACACTTTGCGTAAGATTTATGATAAGAATTCAGTTATTGAATACGAATTAATAATGTGCGCTTCAGATAATATTGTATATAATGCATTATACAAAAATAAACGCATATTAAAACAGTATATCTCAGTGTCTGTAATTATTTAAGTTATTATTATTATTAATATATATAATAAAAAAACAATTGTTGGGACCAAAATGCGAAATGTAATCGCATAAGGAGGAAGAAGATGACGGTGTGTAAGAGGAAGAGAGACGGTAAGTATAAATGGTAAGTATAGCGATAACCGATAACGTGAACATACATAAATAATGTGCACCAAACGTTGTTCATCATATGTCAAAATCTTTTTCCATTGACGTTAACATTGTAGACGAACGTCAACTGAAGAGAAAATTGCAAGTATGTTTATATATATAAGTAACTTGATACATGTGTATGTATATATATTGTAAACTGTAAAAGTGATTAGATTCACGTTGCGGCAATACTGCTATGTTAATTTGCCTTGACTACGAGTCCCTAGCAACGAGTTGTTGAAGAGAGTTCGAAGCGTAGCCGTCGTATCACTCGGACGTATTCGCGCCGTCATCTACGATTTGTACATCCAATAATAAAGGAAAACTTATATCCTTAAACTAATTGGCCACATTCTCATTAAGTGTAGTAAAGCTTTATTCGCCCTCAATTACATCAAAGAAAACATATCAAATTCAAGATTCTACAGCTCAGAAGTGGGATATTACAATTAGTTCCGGATTAATTTTTCTCCGATTTTTTTTTTGGAGTCATCATTGGTGTTGTAGAGTCCGACACCTTAACATTATCATTTGTTGGCTGTCTTGACTCGAAATTGCGGTAATATTCGCCATTGAATGATTTCTTGAAGAAGAAATTAATTGAAGATCTGCAAACAAAAGACGGCAACACATTTTCCGATCGACGGTTACGGAGCAGTTTTGTCTTTCGTCGCTTCACGCCTTATCAATCGCTATGGATCGAAGTCGCTTAGACCAACTCTCTTTTGAAGAACTCAAGAATGAAGCTCTTAGTTATGGACTCGTGCCAGCCTCTTCTTGTGAACAGTTGATTGACCAAATTATGTCCCATTTGGAGCGAAATGGTCCAGTGAATGATTTTGGTATCGTATCATCTGATGGCACATCATCCTGCAATGCTCGAGCTACAATTCAACCTCAACAATCTGCAAGTGATATGCCTTCTGCGAGGTTTTCGCCTCCAGTTGCTGATCCTTCTTTGCAGCAGATATTTGGCTTCTTTTCCGAATTAATGAAGCAACAGAGCGATTTAATGCTCAGACAACAAAGTGATTTTATGCAGCAAGTTACCAATTTGGTCTCTGCTACTCGGATTTCTAACATTAATCCGCAAATTGTGTCTTCTTCTGATTCTTCTGGTGCTGCGGTTCTTAATCAGAGACCTGTTTTAGCCTCAGTTCCAGTTGCTCAAGCCGTCAATCTGCTAGCATCCCAACTTCCGTCATTTTCTGGTTCAGAAGACGAAAATATTGATATTTGGATCGAGAAAGTTGAACGAGTTTCCCGTATCCATGATGTCTCCGATCAGGTGACTCTCCTAGCTGCTTCCAGCAAGTTGATCAAGTCTGCAAAAGATTGGTTAGATCTTAATTCAGGTACTGTTAATGATTCCTGGTTCAACTTAAAGCAAGCTATCTCTCAAAGGTTCAAAAGAGACATACCTTTTCGTGTAACCTTTCAAAAAGTCGAAAGTAGAAAATGGAATTTTTCAAAGGAGTCTTTTCAGGATTACGCCATGCAGAAATTGAAGCTTTTACAGAATTTTCGTTTGCCTGAAAAACAAAATATTGATTTCCTGATCTCTGGTATAGGAAGTCCATCTTTAAGAGCTTCAGCTTCTTTGATCCAAGCAGAAACTATCGATCAATTCTTAGACAAGATGCACTCACTTATTTTGGCTTTTGGTGATCCTTCCAAAAAGACCCCTCCTGTTCCTGTTAAGCCTGTCAATTCCAAGGATAATATCAAGAAAGAAGAAACGACTTCTTCCAAAATAGGCCCGTCTACCGATTCTTCCAAGGAAGTATTTTGTGTTTATTGCCGGACAAAGGGGCATACCCGGGACAACTGTTTTCGTCTGAAGAAAAAGGAGCAGAACTTGACTGGAAATTCATCTGGTAGCTCGTCAGCGGTTGCTTCGATTGAAGAGACGTCTTCGTCACAATCTTCTGAGACCTCCGAGTCCTTCCAGTCTCTCCAGACCATCCAGTCTTCCCAGCCTTCCCATTCACCGACGGTAGCTTTTGTCGACATCGGATTGCCGTATAAAATTAGCGACAATATTGTTAAGGTGACTGCTTTAAATGAAACAAATTGCTCATTAGACGCTCTTATTGATACGGGCAGCGCTGTATCTTTTATTCGACCATCTATCTTTTCTAATTTGACTAATCAACCTCTGGATCAATTAAAAGTTCCATCTCGTTCTTTTAAAGCTTTAAATAAATCAATTATTAAAGTTTTCGGAGAATTTACTTTGGAATTTCAGCTCGCGATTTTTCCGAATAAATCTTTCAAAGTTCCTTTTCTTGTTCTAGAGGACGATGAGCTTTTTGTTGACCTTATTCTTGGTCGTGATTTTTTGCAAATGTACAAAATTGTAATTGTTTGCGAAACTTTTGGTAACGAAAATTCAAAGATCCAATTATTTTCTGAAATTGCATCTTTGGATGATTATAGTCAGTCTGTTTTACCTGGTTTTTCTGATGAGTTTACTTTCGAATCTGATTTCGGACCAACGGTTGATGAAAAACTTGTAACTTTAATTCGTGAAGTTGAGAATACTTCTGTCATTCCAATTGAAGATGGTCATGCCGTCACAGTGTCTCTCAAAGACAATACAACTTATGCTTATTCTCCTCGACGCTTCGCATGGTCTGAAAGGAAACAGATTCGAGAGATTACTGATGATCTCTTGCACAGAGGAATTATTAAACCGAGCATTTCCCCTTATTGTGCAAGGGTGGTTCCTGTAATTAAGAAAAACGGTACAATGCGATTGTGCATTGATTTACGACCGTTGAATGATCGTGTCATAAAACAAAAATACCCCTTTCCATTGATGGAAGAATGTTTTTCTCGACTGGGCAATAAGAAAGTTTTTACTTTGCTTGACTTAAAAGATGGTTTTCATCAAATAGATGTTCATCCAGATCATTCTAAATATTTTGCTTTCGCGACTCCTGATGGTCAGTTTGAGTACATGAAATTACCTTTTGGTTACTGTAAGGCTCCAGCTGAGTTCCAAAAGAGAATGATCCAAATCTTTCAACCTTTTTTGCGCGAGGATAAAGTTTTAGTTTATATTGATGATATCTTGGTGCCATCTAGTACAGTTGAGGAAAACTTGTCTTCATTGAAAGAGGTACTTTTGATCTTAAAACAATACGGATTTAAACTTAATTATAAAAAATGTCATTTTCTAAAAGAGAAAATTGAATATCTTGGATATATTCTTTCTCCGTCAGGAATTACCTTAAGTGATCGTCATGTTAAGGCTGTTAGAGACTTTCCGATACCTAAGAATGTTGTTCAACTTCAACGTTTTCTTGGTCTTGCAAATTTCTTTCGTAGATTCATAAAGGATTTCGCTATTAAAGCTCGCCCTTTGCTTAATCTTTTACGAAAGTCAGTGTAACGTCCGGTGCGCTACATTACAGCACCCCGGCCGTTTACCAAGCGAACGCGAGCACAAAGTATAGCGAATAATACAATACGTGCCAACTACAAGCGCGTATAACTATAGGCTAAGCTACCGAAACCGTCGCGTTCGAACGCCGCGCGCACAGCGCCTGCGCAACCAATAAAATAGAAAAACTAATAGAAAAATGCACTAAAGCACGTAAATAGCGCCGCCAAAAGACGAGAAATAACGAACATCATAATTACCAACCAAATAATCACGAGGAAATAGCGCCGATCCACCAAGAACGAGTAAAAACGCGCAATTACTCGTAAAATGCATAGCGATGCAACGCGAAACGCGCGCATCGATCACGAAGGCCTCAGAAAACAAATAAAAGCTATTACAATTTGAATAAGGGCACGAATAACGAAACAAGGGCCCTAAACAAACAAAGGAGACTCGCGAGCGCTTCAGAAGAAAGAACTGAAGATACGCGAAAAAGCGGCATGAAAAAACGCGCAAGGGATGCACGCTCGCTACGCCGCGACCGAGTGCATCACGCGCCAACCAAGAACACCCCTAAGAATATAGCGAACTCCGCTAAACATGAGAACGACCGAAAAGGCAAAAAGACACACAATAATCAAATAAATCGCGATAAAAGAATTAGAATATTCGAGAGAATTTCGCAACAACACGTGTGTGAAAACACCCCTTTACCGCGAGGGGTCACGAAACAAAATGTATATAAAGCGGGACAATTTACAGACAAATCGCCTTATTCCTTCCTGGCAACCAAAACGGTAAGGACTCCTAGCGCTTTCACTAGCGCTCCGGATCATCCGTTAATTCCTACCAAATCCAGCCCCGATCGTGCGCCAACCACGGCGTCTGACGGGCTAACTTCTCGCCAGATCTCAGCAGCGCCAACCACGGCGACGCTGAAATCACCTCCTTGCGGATCTCCAAACAAGCGCCTCTCGGCGTCGAGGCTTCCGCACTCCCTCTCTCTTTCCGATCTGCCGCTACTAATCAAAACGTTCTTTCTGGGCACAGATGCCAAAGAAAAAACGTCCACGCGGCAAGCGAGGAGGGTGCGAATCCACCTCAAGAGGCTACAGCGGGAGCTTCTGACTGTGGGAGAGTTCGATCCTTCGGATCATTGGAGGGAGAACGCGGGGGACGCGAATAAACCCACGGTTGACACACCGGGCACGATTCCCGAGTTTGCGGATTCGCCGAATTCGATCCCGGAGAAAAGCGCCACAAAAACCGTGGTTACCACTACGCCACCGCCGCGATCGAGACCACCTTCATCTCCACCCCACGTGGCGCCCACACGCAAGGCCACCAGGCCTACGATAATCACGTCGAAACCTCGCGTTACCAATAACACTCCATGTACAATTAATATAAAAATCGTATAATCTAAAACTTTTCTATTTTTATTTATCTGCCTTTAAGGCCTTTTCAAATCCTTCCAAGTCCTTCTCATCACACCGGAGAGTGTAGATAGAGAGATGCGAAATGAAGCCTAACTGACGCATCCTCTAAACTCTCCATTTTATTTTATTAGAAGAACCTGGAAGGCTAATTACTTTAAACTCAAGTAACTTCGTAGAATCATATACATTATCTCCGAATTTCGTGTTTATTTCCGAGCACTGGTGACAGCTGCCTATTCTAACAACAGAAAAACGCGTCAAAACACCGCGTTGAAGCTAAGGCTTCGCCCCGCGCGCCCCGCTCCGCGCTCGCGTTCCCGCAAACTCGTGTCGCGTCTCGAGACCGCTGAAAACTCGCGCTCAGGACGTAACACAGTCTCTTTCAATTTCAATGATGATTGCTTGAAGGCTTTTCAAATCCTAAAACAAGAATTTATTTCTTACCCGGTTCTTCGTTTATATGATCCCTATGCAGAGACAGAATTACATACGGATGCAAGTTCCTTGGCTTTAGCTGCTATTCTTTTCCAAAAACAGGAATCTGGAAAATTAGCTCCCATTGCGTACTACAGTCAAGCCACGAATTCAGCTGAGGCTAGATATCACAGCTTTGAGTTAGAAATGCTGGCTGTGGTTAAGGCAGTTGAACGTTTCCATATATTCCTGTATGGTTTAGAGTTCACTATCGTCACGGATTGCCATGCATTAGTGTATGCTGTAAATAAGGCACATCTCAATCCTAGATTCGCTAGATGGACCTTAAGATTGCAGAATTATAGATTTAAAATATTGCATCGTTCTGGACATAAAATGGCACATGTCGACGCTCTCAGCAGAATCTCTGAAGTTTCGGCTCTTGTTGAAGCTTTGCCCCTCGAGAGAGAATTAGAGATAAAGCAATTACAGGATCCGAGGCTTAAGAAGATTGCTGAGCAGTTAGAATTTTCTGATAATCCGAAATTTGAATTAATACGAGGACTTGTTTATCGTAAAGACTCTAACTTGCCTCGATTTGCTGTTCCAGAATCAATGATTGATAACGTAATAAGAATTTACCATGACGATCTTGCTCATTGTGGTTTCAAGAAAGCAGTCCAGGGACTCAGTTTTCATTACTGGTTTCCCTTTCTTCATAAGTAAATGTGTGACTTGCTTAACTTCCAATGCTGGTTTTAAATCCAGTGAAGGTGAGATGCAAATAACTGATACCCCTTCTGAGCCTTTTCGAATTTTACACATGGATTATTTTGGCCCTCTGTGTGAATCCTGCAATGGTTCAAAACATATTTTGGTAATTATTGCTACTTTTACTCGTTACGTTTGGCTTTTTCCTACAAAGTCTACTACGTCCAAGGAAGTTATCAAGCATCTCGCATCTTTATTTCATATTCTTGGTTACCCAGAAAGAATTGTATCTGATAGAGGTACAGCATTTACCTCTCATGAATTTTCTGAATTTCTGTCTTCTAGAAATATTAAGCATAGGCTAATTGCTGTTGCTGCTCCTTGGGCCAATGGTTTGGCAGAAAGAGCGAATCGTTTTTTAAAATCCTCTTTAAAAAAACTTATCGATGAAAATCATGATTGGGAAATATGCCTTGAAATTGTTCAATATGTATTTAATAATACTCGACATTCGGCGTTAAAATCTTCTCCCTCAAAATTACTTTTAGGTTATGATCAACGTAACAATACTGATGCTGATTTAGTAAAATTCTTGAATGAGATTGCTGGCGTTGAAATAAATTTTACTTTAGAAAGAGAAAAAGATAG